AATTATATAATTATATAAATATATAATCACACACATATATATATACACACACACACACACACACACACCATCATTACTAAAAAAAATGTACCCCTTACAATGAAAATCTGCAGGTGAGCTGATTTGTTTTTCACCCTAAGGGTTTAATTTTGTAATGCAACTCCCTCATGACGGCGATGTGCAAAGGATGTCGCTGTCACTAAGTGTGAGCTCAGTCATGAAGGGGTTAAGGTCTCATTCACACTGGAATCGGCCGGCACGCACAGCTCCATACACGGCCGTATCAGACGGCTCCCGGGAAGAACAGGTGCTGCGTGTGATTAGTACGCAGCCCGTCTTTCTCTATGGAATTACGCAGCCGTACGCCGCCCTACGCTCACCTCAAGTGCAGGTCCGTATGAGTGCGGGTGTCCCGGCTCGGACGCAGGCAGGATCCATCCCGTCAGCGTACGAGTATGCTTACCCGCACGGACGTGCAGGGCGGGTGAGCGTACGGCCGCGTAGCCCCATAGAGAAGGACGGGGGCTGCATACTAAATCACACGCAGCACCTGTCCTTCCCGGGAGCTGCCCGATACGGCCGTGTACGGAGCTGTGCGTGCCGGACGATTCTCGTGTGAATGAGGCCTAAAAGGGCTCACATTCCCCCAACATTTTACTGTACCAGTGGCCCTCAAAACTCAAATAGCGACCATAAAACTGCTGGCTGTGCCCACCTCCTCCTATCCTCCTGTGCCTTCCTCCTGGCCTACGAATATGATGGTCAGCCTGACTAGTCAGTAGGGATGCACAGAGAGTGTGGGAAGGGACCAGACCTGCGACCAGGAAGCCTGACTAGTCAGTAGGGGGGGGGTGCTTTTCACTCACCTCATAGTTCTGGCCGACCTGTGACAATGAGACTGTCACAGGTCGGCTCCATAGATCGGGAGGTGAGAGAACACAAACTGGCGTTCGCTCACCTCTCGATCCTGTCACTGCTCTCTGCCGTGACAGGGGAGGGATTGCATTCCCTTCCCCCCGCTCCGATCCGCCAGCGCTGACTGGCGGAACGGATGGGGGAGGGTACAGCTGGCTCTGCCTCTAGATAGGCAGAGCCAGCTGTCAGTCACGCAGCTGGGTGGATCCCGGCACAATTGTCGGGGTCCGCTTCAGCTGCGGCGTCTCAGTATACCGCGAGCTGTAGCTCCCTATATACTGAGCTTAGGGTGACGGGAGGACGCTAGTTTGTGTCCTCCCGTTACCCTGAGAACTATGGGGAAAAGCCCTGACCCCATAGTTCTCCTTTAAGTTTAATATTTCTGGTACAATTGTTGGGGATACTATAAGTAGCCTCATATTGTGTAAATTTTATACCATGAAAAAAAAAAGGCTATGCCCCTCAGGGGTATGGCTGCAAAAACAGAATAAAGTTTGTTTAAAAAAAAAAAAAAAAGCTGAGGAAGAACACAGGACCGGTGTCAAAGGACAGCTGCACTTTTTCTATACATTAAGAATTGACATTTGTTCCCGCAGTAAATGCACATAAAACACAGGTGGTCTGCAGCATGGAATATTTCTATAATGGAGGTTTATCTCTCAGTGTGCAGGATGCAGGAACAACAAAAGCACGTTTAAAGCATACATATAAAACACGTGTGATATTGTATGCCAGAAACAAAGGGATTTGTGTCCTTTGGCTGGCAAGCCGGCTGTCGCTAGAGGGGGCTCTTTCCTGATGGAAGACTGGCTTTGTATTAGAACCTGCGCTCCCATCTCCAAACATCGCCTCCAGCGGCAGCTCACAGGCCAGAGGAATGCAAACAGGAAGGCTGCAGGCCGAGCAGAGAGGATAGAGGCTGTGAAGGGAACGGTTCCAATGGTTTGCTTTCATAGGGACTGCAGGGTGACTACAGCATTATATAGTAAGAGTGCGGCTATTCCTGAACCACCTCAGGACCAGCATGTTATAACCCCTTCCAGGCCGTGACAATCACTGGGTCATGCAACAAAATGAATTTTATATATATATATACACATAAACATACATACACTGTGTGTGCGCGTGTGTATAATATTAATATATAATTATTTTTTTTTAAACCGATACATCTTTCTTTTGGTATTTAATGAGCACTTTTTTTTTCACTAAATAGGAGGAAAAAAGACCAAACAAACCCCCTAACCCAGCGGTTCTCAACCTGTGGGTCGGGACCCATTTATGGTCAATATACCCCCCTTTGCTGCTCAGCGGGGCCCTTGTTCGTTGACAGTCTTCTTAATTAGATGTGTAGAAGTGGCTAGCAGAAAGCAGGGGTGACAACACTCAACATCATGACCCCCCGGGGGGCACTGCAACACGCGGCTACTGGTGCCTTTTATACCAGTGTTACAAATTAGAATATTCCAATTAAAAGGAGAACTATGGGGTCAGAGTTTTTCCCCATAGTTCTCCTCCGGGTAACGGGAGGACACAAACTAGCGTCCTCCCGTCACCCTAAGCTCAGTATATAGGGGGCTACAGCTCGCGGTTTACTGAGACGCCGCAGCCGGAGCGGATCCCGATGTAGATGACGGGATCCGCCCAGCTGCATGAGTGACAGCTAGCTCCGCCTATCTAGAGGCAGAGCCAGCTGTACCCGCCCCCTCCCCCGTCCGTTCCGCCAGTCAGCGCTGGCGGATCAGAGCGGGGAGAGGGGAATCCAGCCCTCCCCCTGTCACGTCAGAGAGCCGTTACAGGATCGAGAGGTGAGCGAGCGCCGGTATGTGTTCGCTCATCTCCCGATCTACTGAGCTGACCTGTGACAGTCTCATTGTCACAGGTCGGCTGGAACTATGAGGTGAGTGAAAAGCACCCCCCCCTCCCCCCTCATAGTTCTCCTTTAAATATGTTGTTAAATTCAGACCAAAGGGCCGTTTTACAGACAATGATAAATGGTACAAACTCAAGTTGCCATATAAAAATCCAACTAGAAAATGGCAATTGCTGTCGATCAATACGTCTTATTGACATGCGTTTGAATATTTGGACAGCAGATGCAGCCTCTAACCATCAATAGATGCATGACATGACGGGATAAAGAGTGAAAAGAGAACTATGGGGTCAGTGTTTTTCCCCATAGTTCTCTTAAGGGGGAGGATATATACCTGCGTCCACCCGTGACCCAAAACTCAGTATATAGGGAGCTGCAGCTCGCGGTATATGGAGACCGCCGCAGCCAGGACGGATCCCGACATCACTGTCGAGATCCACCCAGCTGCGTGAGTGACAGCTGGCTCTGCCTATCTAGAGGCAGAGCCGGCTTTACTCGCCCCCCTCCCCCGTCCGTTCCTCCAGCCAGCGCTGGAGGATCAGAGAGGGGGGAATCCATGCAGGGAGCCGTGAGTGACAGTCACCACTCTCTGCAGTGAGATGATTGAGAGGTGAGCGAGCGCCGGTATGTGTTCGCTCACTTCCCGATCTATAGAGCCGACGTGCGACAGTCTCATTGTCACAGGTCGGCTCCAACTATGAGGATGGGCGATTTTCACTCCCCTCCTCCTTTAAAGGATTGGACCTTACTCAACCGAAACTGACCAACTTCAATATAATCCCCTCTGATGGTCACAAGGATTCGTTACCGGAGAATGTTATTTTGGCGTGAAGAGATTATTTCTCGTGGGGATTAGAACGCTGGTACCTGTAGTGAACAATGACAGAAGCTTGTTACTCATACAGGAACTTTCCGGGACTGGCCCCGCCTTACCGGTTCGGAGAGGAGCGTACGATTGTTCTCCGGCTTCGCCGAAAGGCCTTTTCTTCCACTTCTGCCGTTCAGTTCCCCGTAACAGATCCGAGTCTGGGACTGGAAGTCCTGAAATAAAGTTGGATGGCATTTGTGTGGTTCATGGGTACGGCTCCTCGCAGACACACAGCACTACTAATCACAGACCACAAACAGTTCTATAAAAGGGAACATTCCCGCCATTGCATTGTGCTACCGCAAGGTAAAGTGCGTGTTACGGCAACACACAGTAGCATGCCAAGTCCAGTGCAATACATTGCGGTGTCATTCACTTTGATGGCCACCCTAGCGCATCTATAGGACACTCCTGCGCTATACACAACATACAGGGGCGTAACTAGTGACCTCAGGGCCCCGATGCAAAAATAAAAACCATGAAGGGCCCCCCCCCCCCCA